CGAGCCTCTCTCGGCAACATCAACACGAACATCGACTGGTTTTGGAGAATACATATGGGAAGATGTGCACGATCGCCAGGTGCTGCAGCATGGCGAGGTCCAGACGAGCAGCTCCATGTTCAGGAAGAAGAGGGAATATCTGGTGCTGACCGAGAAGCATCTCATCCGCTTCAAGAACCACGCGAAAGCGATCGAAGCATTTCCTGGGTGCGTTCCAGTGTCGACAGTGGCCCATACCAAGACTAACAAGCGCAGGATACCTTCGCCGAACAACCGCATGAGCTACTACCGCCACAGCCACAGCCCCTCGACCGGGTCGTCCCACGAGCTTCAGTCCATGGCTTCGGAATCGTCTGGAGACCGCCACCAGGGCATACCCCTACGCCACATCGTTGCCGTATATCATCTCGACGACGGTCGGCCGCACTTTGCGCTGGAACTTTATTATTTGGACGACGAGACGAACAACGCCTCATCCATGACGCTGCAGTTCGGGGACCCAGAAGAGATGTTTTCATGGCTCAAGGCCATAAGAGAAGCAGCGAATAGGGCGCGGCTGTCTGACGCGAAGCCCATCTCTGCACACAACTCCCATCTGGCTGCGCGTGTCGTGGAAGCAGAACGCGACTATGTACCTCCACATTACGCCATATACAAAGTCGTTCTCCGACCGCAAGGAAAGACAACGACGAGAGCCTCAACTGATGACCTTGCCAAAGTTTCTGCTTCAGTATGTTTCCTTGCTATTGGTGTGCATAAAGTACACATCATTCCGTTGTTCAAACCCTCCTCGCAACGGTCTTCCAGTCCATCACTGGCCGCTCATAACACCCAGTCGTCGCATGGTATCCTAACGCTGACTGAAGTATGCGTGTCCGAGATTGACGATACCTTCCAGTTAACCTTCCGGTGGGTATCCTTCTGCGCTATGAGAAAACCGCTAACAACACACAGAAAGCCGCTTGAACGTCCCAAAGTTCTCCACCTGGCGTCATTAGCTTCGCGGGATATTGCTGTCCGTCTGCGATCCATAGAAGCTAGTCTCAGACCTGAGTGGGAGACGCGACCTTTTGACTTCCTTGTCCCAGACGAGGTGTATCATGACGTCGCTCGACAAGAAAGCCCTCATCCGATGGACCAAGATTCTTTGGATAGAACCTTGATTGGATATTGCGTTGCTTACGATGTACAGCCAGAGAACATCAGCTATCAGATCACCTACCCTGCGGAGGATGCACCGCGTTTCGAGCTCCTACCACCGGTCGGACTACGCAGAGCCCAGTATAATACCCTCGAGCTGCTCGCCGTCATGCGTGCCTTGCGCTACAACGAGACCTTTGGCGGTATCTCATTCAAAGATGTAAAATTGGATGTTCTGAATGGACTGAAAGACCCCAATGGCGCTGAGCACCTTTGCCTCAAGACAAAACGCGGCACGTATGCACGGCTGGATATTGAAGAACTGGAGCGGTCTTGTCTATTAGTGCAAGAGATTCGCGCTCTGGCCTTGACGAACCGAAAGCTGCGGAGAATGGACTTTACCTCATGCATATCAAGGAAACCCAGAGACCACGGGGAATCTAGAGGCAGTGCGAGAGATCAGGGTTGCGGCATTGTGGAAGCCCTGTTTCCGCTATGCAAGTACCAGACCACCAATGTCGATTGGATAGCATTGAACAAAATACAACTTGGAGATACAGATCTGGATTACCTCGTCGCGGCAGGTGTCGAGCGGGCTTGCCACTTCCGCGGACTTGAGCTGAGTGGGTGTGGCCTAACGGATCGGTCGCTTTCTCTTGTTCTGGATGCGATCCGCGCACAGGAAACCACCCTGGAAGCCTTAGATCTGTCGTCGAACCCGTTCAGATTATCACCGAGCATGTTTGATTCTCAGATTGGCGTTTTTGGATACCTCACCAGACTCAACCTGTCGCATGTTGCGCGCTCGTCGGGCTTTGAGTCGCTGATCTCGGTCGAAACCTTTGCTGGCTGGAGATTGCAGGAGTTGATACTGAGCGGCACCTCGCTCAACTCCGCCATGGTCGACGCAATAGCTGGGTTAGTTCCACATACTTAACATGCTGCCATCCTGCTAACCACCGCGTAGTTATCTTGTCAACTACAAACAATCGTCAGCTCTCCGTGAACTACGATTGGATCATTGCTTTTTGACTGGAAGTGACATTGCCTACCTCTTGCACTCAATGACCGAGCACCCTGGAAAAGCTCGCGAGTTACATTTGGATGTCAGCGAGAACAACATTGAAGAAGATCTGGACAAGTTGACCAGGGCAATCTCTAAAGGTCTTGCCCCATCCAACTTCACACTCCGCCTGCTAGAGTTCGAAGAGGACGCCGACTTCCGCAAGATGATACTTGCGCTGGCCGCCAATAACACAATTCGACAGCTTGATATCTCACGAGCATCCTTACCATGCGATGCCTCCGAGGAGACTTGTCAGGCTATGGAGAAGATGTTTGCTGATAATACCAGTCTTGAATGGCTTGACATCTCCGGAGAAGACTCCCGGTTGGAGACAACCAAGCTAGGTGTTGGCATCAACCGCGCATTACGGGGTTTGCAGCGCAACCGAACCCTGCGCGCCTTGTACATCAGATGTGAGTTAACACACATTCATGCCTACTGGCAATTAACTGACAGTAATAGATCAAAAGCTCGGCGTACAAGGCGCCAGCACCCTCGCCGACGTCCTCAAAGTAAACACGACCCTCCAATACCTCTACTGCGAAGACAACGGCATAGCCCTAACCGGCTTCACCGACCTCGTCAACGCCCTCCACCGCAACACAACCCTCCTCTTCCTCCCCACGATGCAAGAATCGCGACAAATGGCCCTCAAGCAAACCGAAGACCAAGTAAAATCCATGCGCGACGACGTCTCCCTCCCCACGTCCTCGAAATCCAGCTCCGTCCGCAGCCGCCTCACCAACCGCGTCGTCAGCGGCAAGTCCTCCAAAGAACCAAACTACCCCATGGGTCTCTCAGACCAAGACATCAAAGCCGCCCTCGGCCTCGTCGACGAAAGTTGGGCTCGCCAAGAATACAGACTACAACAATACCTCCAACGCAACCACAACCTCGCCCACGGCATCCCCACCGCCATGGACGTCGACGAAGAAGACTTTGAGCGGCCCGACACCGCAAACAGTCTCGGCAAGATCCTCGAAAAAGTCACCATTGAAAGCACGCCTACACGGGAGAAAGACGTCCAGCTGGGAATGGGAATGGATATGTATAGCCCGAAGTCGAAGCCAAGTGGTGAGAAGGATGTGACCCAGCTGGGTGTTTATACCCCCGAGTTTTATCTTCCGGAGTTAAATACGCCGGGGACGGGCACGCCGAGGAGCGAGGTGGTGGATTATGATGTTACGCCTTTGGAGAAGGAGCTCGAGATGAGCTTTGGGGAGAATAGGAGGGCTTTTCCGTTTCCGACGAGGTGATGAGATGGTACCGACATAGGTTCCATACTCGCTTGCGCATGCTCACCACCTTCGATTACGATCGCCGCCCATGTACATATAGAAGTTTGTTTTGCATACCGGCCCTCTTGCGAGAGACATTAGGGGGTTCATTCGGCGTTTTCTTCCTATTTCTTTTCTTCTCAACATGCAACAATAGGATGGGGAATATGCATATCAAGTTGGATAACGGTTGGGGGTGTTCTATGATACCATAGATATTTGAATCAACAAAGGATTTTAAACCTTCACCAAAATGCAACCACATTTCGGGCGCCTTCTGTAATGATAGATGCTGTGAACACGCGTTCTCGATCGCGATCTGAAATGTACATCTGCAGTACCCCACATGCCACCCCCACTAAACAAGCTCACACGTCCGAGCTTCAGCCGAAAATGTAGGCTGACATCACCGATTCTGCAACATGTTCGCGTCTTTCCCTATGCCATCCGTTTATCCAATCGAACGATCACAACCACGATCATTCTAAATCACAGCGCCGACGAAAAGGATTAGGCGATCTTTCTATCCACTCTCCCCGATGATTGTTTGAGCATAGTTCCTCACGTGCGCACGCAATCATGGTGAGACAACACGGTAGTTTGACAAAGGACGACGAGACGAATCAGGCAGCTTGGGAGGCGGCGAAGGGAGCGGCGATTGGGGGGACGAAGGTACGCTTCTCTCTTTTTTTTTTGCCGTTGTCGCTGTATATCTGCATATGACAACTATTATTGGAAAGATTGGGGTGCTGCATGGGCAAAGAGAAGGAAGGGGAGTTGCGGGGGTCAATCAATCATGCATACCGCGATTTTCACTTCGTCAATTGGCGTGTTTTGGTATGAAGGACGGTTATAGTTGTAGCATCTATGAGGAGAGCAGGGGTCGAGAATGGATAAGGGGTTTTGATCAAGATGGGTTGGTAGGTATGATGGCTGACTTTGAATCACAGTGGGGTGCTTTCTTCGCCGTGGCAGGCGGTGTTGCATACGCCTTTTCGCCTGTATACAAGGGTCTTACTGTTCAGTTCAAGACGTATGTCTCTCCCGTCGCTTCCACCCCTCTTTCATTCTATCCCATCCCATCCAATCTCCGCTCTCCCCATACACCCTCCTATCAACCACTCTACTAATTCACTTAGCTATATACAAATGTCAGGCATGATACTCGGAGGGTACCTGGAAGCCGACAAGCGCATGATCAACTACCAACACCGCGTCCGACACCACAAGCGGGTTGCTAGGGATATGGAGATCTGGAGAAGGTACGAGGATTCTTATGAGGAGAGGGGGACGCCGGGGGTGGGGGCTGAGAGTGATGTGCATGGACCGAACGGGAAAGGGAATTGAGGTGCGGGATGATTGGGCGAATCTGCAAGAATGAAGGTTTGGTGTTTGTGCGGGTGAGGATGGCAAACAAGTATTTCTGCTTCTCGCTATATGAATCATTCTTCTCCGTCTCCCCTTGTACCACACTCAACATCCGCCCTGTATTCTAACCACACACGCATCCACCTAGAATGCCTACCGACTTCCAACCCCTGCTCAATATCTCCGACGATACTTACCCCCGTACAGCGGGCACGTGGGGTTTCTCAGGCACAATCACGCATCAGTATGCACTTCGCAAGAGATGGATACTGCTCCGCTTTGAGCAAGTAACAGAGTTCGCGTGTTGCCTATGCAAGCAGCAGAAGCAGGCCCATCTCGTAGCTGTAAAGGGTGTGCTGTGGGATGATATCGCTCTCAAGTCCTGTCAGGCGTGTTTTGACGAGCGGAATGATGCACTTCATCGTGACATGGATCTGGAACTAGCTACTGCGAGATTGCATTGTTGACTTGGTCTTGTAAAGTAATAATGAAAAGACAATCATGGCTGCGCTTCTAGAAGGTGTGGTGTTCCTGCAGCCAGAGCTCCGGCAGCCAATGACGTGATGGTGCGCGAAAGAGTATAGCGCCCCCACCCACGCCGCGGCCTTTTAAGCCACCTTGCGAATTCGCTTGCTCCTCTTTCTCCAGGCAGCACCAGCTGGTCCTCGTTCACGACACCTCACGACTTCACGACTTCACGTATACAACGGCTATAGCTCCGCGTTACGATGGATGTCTTTTGGACGCTCCCGCCCGTCTCTAGGTAAGCTTCTCTCCTCCAAGTAGCTCAGCTCGTAGCTCTCACCTCATTCCCAGCTACGCGCAAACAACACGTCGCACAATCGCTAACAACCCCTACAGGACTATCACAGCTGCAGCAGTCGTTGTATCGGCCGCAGGCTACAGCGGTCTCCTCAGCCTCTATCACTACATCTTCGTCAGCCAATATGTCTTCACGGTGTCGATGCTCCCGCAGCTCTGGCGACTCTTCACAGCGTTTCTGATTACGAAACCGAAGTTCGGCATCCTGCTAGACCCCTACTTTCTGTACCAGTACGGCAGCTCCATCGAGCGGGAGTCGCCTCGCTTCAAGGATCCAGGCGACTTTTTCGTGTACACTTTGTTCCTCGGTAGCGTCATTGTCGTAAGTACCCACTGCACACACGCGTACATAGCATCTTCCATCGCATCGACACAACTGTCTGCGACCTCTCGACTTCGGTCAGAATCACCTCCGCATATCTGCCCGCCCAGCCTGTTATTCCTAGCTGAAGCGGTTCCTGGAACGGAGGAAGAATACCCTTGCACATCATGCGGTTCCGTCATTCGCAATCATATAAAGGGACTTGTGTGGTGTGTAGGCATGGTGGGATTGTCACTTGAGAAAGCTTTGCGAATGCTCTCCATTTCGCAAGGCGGTGTTGGCTCCCTACATACTTTCGCGATTCGTTTCGCTTTGTTCACTTGCATCTTCTCGTCTTGATATTAGTGTATTGTGGATGGACTTGTGCTAACAGTCCGCGCAAAGGCAACAGCAGGTGGCATCCTAAACCAATACACCTTCCTCCCGTCGCTGTCACTCGCCTACGCCTACACGTTCGCCCAAGATAATCCCACCCGCTCCGTATCCTTCTTCGTCATTACTTTCGAAAGCAAATACCTGCCCTTCGCTATGCTCTTCATGGCCTTTGTCATGGACGGTCCTGATGCCGCTCTCGGACAGCTTATGGGTCTCCTCGCCGCACACTTGTACGACTTCCTGACAAGGATCTGGCCTACGTTTGGCGGTGGCAAAAACTACATTCGCACACCTGAGATGGTGAAGCGCTGGTTCGGTGCTGCGCCGGGCAGCGTGCAGAACAGAGGATACGGACATGTTGTGCAGGGACGGGGAGGTGCTGCGCAGCCTAGTGCGGCGAGGGCGACAGGCAATGCTTGGGGTGGAATGGGTCCCGGGAGGAGACTGGGGGAATAGACGTATGCGGCTGGAAATGTCGCGTGCGTTTACACATTGAGGCTGGGTATTGTGTATTTTGGGGCTTTGGCACTTGATTGCACTGTCTTGATAGACGAGGTGGTCTACACACCTTTACAATTTCTTCCTGTCGATCCAACTATTTCTTGATTCGCTGACTTGGTTTGGAAATCTGCAACGACGCTGCAAACTATCTCAGCGAATCAGGAAATAGCTGGGTCGGCGGGAAAGAAGCTTTGGCACTTGACTGTATCATCTTGATGGACGAGGTTTATACACCTGTACAACTTGTTTCCTGCCACGCCAGGTAATTCCGGGCGATCAGTGTTCATCTTCAACGATTCGCTCAAATAGTTCAGAATCACCTGGACCGGGAGGAAACACGTGGTGACATATTATCATGACAGTATTCAATCATTTCATCCAATGCCTCTTGGCTATAATACAATCCCTCCCCTACATATTATGGATTCAATTTACTTTGAGCTTCCAGCAGGATTGCTCGGTCCATCAACAGCCCTTTCTACATGCCCTGCGATTCCATTCTTGCTCGCGTCGAACTGGCTTCCAATCACGCCGTCCTTGCTGAATGGACCACCGACTTTCTCGCCGATTTGGCCGATTGCGCCGTCGGGGTTGACTGTCCCATATATTAATATAGAGTTCAAGGTGGTTGTAGTATGCTTGAAGGACTACTTACAGTTCTTGCCAATCGCACCCGCACTGCTAATCACACTAGGGTTCGACTGAGGAATCGCATTTGTGCCCTTGTTTGCGCCGAGCTTGTCTGCTGCGGCGGTGGTGTTGTCGGTCATGTTTCCGGACATGTTGGGTGTGGATTGGTTTGCTGTGCCGAGGCCGAGTTGTTCTTGGAGGGGACCGGTGGATTTGGGCATTTAGTTGATTTGAAGGGTTATGTTGATGAGAAATCACTTATGGCAAAGGGTAGGGTTTCTTATATGAATGGCGATGGTGGTTATGCATGGAGAGTACGTCACGGATGCTCAAGTGATGATGGTGACGATGGTGATGTCATGATGATATGAAAGTGGTGGGAGCGCAATTGCAGAAATACGCATTCGGATAAAGTCGATGATGTATCTAGTGAGTAGCTTCCGTGGATCTCGATTTTACCTTTCGCATGCCAGAAAGTGGGGTGGAGATCTGGTGGTCGTGGTTGTGATTTGCTACTTGGGCTGACTATGGCGTTATGCAGCTGTCATGTACCTCCGCGCGTGATCTACATGTAAAGGTACCCGCACGATTGAACATGGACGTAATGGGTTTGGGGAGGTGGATTGTGATTTCATAGATGCTTGCTGGTCTGGTATCATTGCTGGTTTGGTGCCGAGGACTACTGTATGGATCTAGGCGGTAATTACATGCGCGTCATGGCTAGGTGCGTCTCTTTGCTCGTGCTCCGCCTACTTTAGGGAATGACAGTGGGAGCTTGAGCTTTGCGATGAAGTGGTTGGCGGTTTCGGCTTTGGTGAGCTTCATGCGTGTGAGGTCGGTTTGGGTTGGGGCGTTGAGCTTGCATCCGAGTTCGGCGAAGTATTGCTTGATTCTGTGTGGCGTTAGCATGGGTTAGGTCAAGTGGTTCTTGGGGAACGTACTCTTTGTTCTCGAGCTTCAGATCTTCTCGCAGGTCGTTCACATCGACTTCGTAGTCGTCGACTGTGAGTGCTGCCGCTGCAATATGTGTCATGAGGTTATCGACGTGCCAGCGAGACATCTCAAAGGAACTGCACAGGTTAGCCAGTCTTCATGAAACAACAACTGACATGACTTACCCCTCGGGGGCAAACTTCCTCCTGATGGCCATGAGTTGACCCGCAGGCGTGTCCTCACCCATCGCTTCCTCCAACTTCCCCTTCATGGGAATCTTCTTCGGCCGAGGTCCACCTCCTCCAATCAACGCGGAGTTGAAGTTGATGCAAAGCAGTATGAATCGTAGGGCCTTCAGCTTCTGTATCTGTTTGTTCTTGGCGAGCTTTACGATGCGCTTAGCAACGTATTTGCTGGCGACGCTGACTCCTTCGCCGACTGAAGATTTTTGAACCCAGTCCTGGACATCGAGCATGGTCATGAGATCGCTTCCAATCACAACATCCGTAGGGTAAACGTCGGCTGGGTATTCGGCTGCAAGGTTGGGTGTCGGGCGAGGCTTGGAGCTGTCCACGGCTGCTGCGAGATCGTCCTTGTTCGGCATGACCGCTGTCGCAGAGGCCATTTGCTGCAGAACGTTCTCGGCAACTGCGTCGGTCCTCGCTGCGTCCTCAGCTCCGGTTCCACTCTTGATGGCGTTGAGCGTCCGGTCTTCAAGTGCCTTCCTCGACTTCTTGGATCCAAACTCTGCCGCGAGAGCAGCTCTCTTTGCCATGACAGTGTTTTGTGCTGCGTCCAACGCCTCCTGCTCTTCGCGCATTTCTTGTGCTTCGCTTCGCAGTGTGCTTCGTACGACAACTCTCTTGACCGGGACGATCTGTAGCTTGCTTGTCGCAGGGTCGAATACGCCGATGTAGTCTTGTAGCTGGCTCTCGGCGCTTCCATCATGCTCTTCCTGTGCGATGTAATCTAGACGAGGGTGGCCGGATGATTGGAACAGCATTTCGGTTTCTTCGCCTTGTGGTCTTATCTTGGTGCGCTTGTATGGGTTGAAGGATATCTTCGAAGGGATGGTGAGACCGGGTGTGACAGCTTGAGCGCGTTAGAAAACACATCCATATATCATGCCAAGGTCTCCCGGCATTTGCGATGAGTTTTGACGCAATGCGACAGTCTGAAGAGGTGCTATCATACCTAGAAGCGGACCCAGAGTCTCTTTATTCTCTACCATCTTGACGCGGACATTTCCCGTAGGCGCAACAGCTGTCTTCTTCTTCGGTCGTTCGCCATTCTGCTCCTGCCTCTTTCTCTTCTTTTCACTCATGTCGGCGTTGCGGTTCCGATATGGCAGCATGGGTCGCGTTGTGTCAAAAAGTTCGATCGCGAATTGGCAGAACTTTGGGCGGTCAGCTAGCAGGCATAGCCGAGCGACCGGGGTGGAAGCTACGCCAACCCCGAACCGTCTTAGCGCATCCGCGATGACGTTCACGCGACGGACGCGTTCCAGACTTGCGCATCCGCATCGCAAGTGCGGCCACGGCACACACGGAGCTTCCCTCTATTGAATCCCTTGTATCTAGTCAATGCAGTCGCCCTGATACAGTAAACAATCAAACTTCATCTCCGTCCTTCGTCTTCCATCACCCGTCATCACCATCCATTGTTTCATTAACCACTGTACTGCTACCAAGCGCACCTATTTCACCAACCTCACCATGCCCACCGTCCTTCAGACAGCTGGCGACATGGTCGACAACCTCGGAAACAAGATCCATTACACCACGCGAAGAGTCGGTGATCAGATCGAGACCACCACCAATCAGGTCCTGCCACCCAAGCAGCGCGAGCACATGCTTGAGAGGGCCCGAGACTACGCCCACCAGAACCCCAAAGTAGCCGTAAGTTGTTCGATAACATCTGAAGACTCCAATCAATGACACCTTCCAGGCCTTCCTGACGACCCAAACCGCATTGACTGGTCTCCCACTGGCCCTCTTCCTCGCCTTCGCAACAACCACCCTCCTCGTCTCCCTATCAACCTGCCTCTTCCTCGGCCTCCTCGTCTCCATCGCAATCACCTTCTTCCTAGTCGGCTTCGCGCTCCTCTTCGTCGTCCCCACCGTCATCATCGCCAGCTGCTCAGCGACCTTCATCTTCATCTGGGGCTTCGTGGGCTACATCATCCTACGCAGGTTCAATGAGGGTGAGGAGCTTCAGCGTGGCACTCCCGTTGGCGATAAGTTGTACAAGTTAACAGGCGGTAGATCGGGATATCTACAAAGCGATCAGACATCTTCGGAGAGCAGCAGTGACCGAAGGAGGTTGGGTGGTGGAGATGCTGCGAACGGCTCTAATGGCGGTGCTGGGCACGCACATGGTGGTGTATCGTCGCACGCGCGCGATGGCGGGCCTGTGAATGGTGTGAATGGTACCCAAGGTGCTGTTGAGTGGGAGAGGAAGTGGGCGGATGGCGTGCAGCCGAAGCCAGTGGTCCTGGAAACCGAGAATGTCTTTGAGGTGTTGAAAGCGGTAAGTAAACACTCGGTCTCTCAGCAGTGCATTACTGATTATATCAACAGGAGGCTCCAGTTTCCTAGAAGCGTGCCTGGGACTCGAGCTCGGGATGCCGGTCTTAACGTATCACTATTCCTACAGCACGTCCTCACATAATTGCGCTGCCCTAGATATACCGACTCACACCTGCTTTGAACTTCCGATTCTCATGGCATGTTGTGTATGCTACTTTGCTGGCAACGTCTCCGGCATTTTTTCATGACCTATGACATCACGTGCAGCTCTGGTCTTCTAGTGTCTATATAAGCCTTGTTTCCAACCCGCTCCTTCTCTCCACCAACTTTGCAACTTTTCTGCATTCTCAAAATGGACTGGAAACAGGTCCATGTCCTGTTGCTGGACTTCCGAAAAACACCCCCACGCTTACGGCATGACTGTCTGCCCAAAAGACCCACCACGTGACGTGGAAAATCGTTCATCCTTGTACTTCGTTCCATCACTACATGGTTCCCTGTCTTTTCCAAAACTGATCGATGACGTGCGTATGTGCTGATTGCACGCCCGGCTCCCACATTTTACCAAAATTGACCGACATTGACTGCATGCGCTGTATTGTCCGGGCCAAAAGCAAAACTCCTTAATACATGTGTGTCGCCTCGCTGTGAGCAAAAGAAAACGCAAGAAAATACATGTCTTTGTGATACCAAAACGAAGTAGGACAAGAAGAGAAGAATGGCGTTACTGGCCTACATTGGCGTCCTCGTTGTGTTCAACCTTTTCTTCGAATAAAACAACTACATAGATGCACATGCCCTGCACAGTCCTGGGTACACGTTGAGCCTATCAAAACGCATTGTGCTGGTTTCTCGAACACATCAAGTCATATCATAGGGCTAACACACGTTTTTTTTGCATCTGGAGATGGGCAGCCTGCGGCGGGTATATAAACACCTTCTCTCCCGAACAGAGTCTTCTTTCCCCATTGTCTCTTCCTCGTACAGGAACTCCAAAATGCTAAGGGCCATCAATCATGTTTCGTGGGACTTCCGTTTCTCAAAAAAGATACCAAACCATCTATGTTTCGTGCAGCACCTCCGAAAATCATGTTCAACTTCAATCATGGCTTGGTCCGATCTCTCAAACCTTTAACTTGCTATATGATGTTCTCCTTTCTCTGAGCTCCCCGAATTCGAAGATGTCATCTCGTATGAGAGGCTGGAGGTATGAGACTCTATCGATTCTCTGCCTGTGCGAAAACGGCATGTTACTTATGCATGAAACAGCAGCGAGTTGACTGTGTTTATAAAGCTGCCGTCGCGGATCTTCCATACTCAAAAACAGAGGATTGTATAAATGCATGACTGGATTTGGGATCTCCATACGCTTGCATACTGCTTTGCGAAGAGCGTGTTCAAAATGAAGCCAGTGATTGCATGTGGGAAAGAAGAAAGACTAGCCATACGAACGCATGCCTCTGGGTCTGCACAAGAGTGCAGCCGACGGTTACATGTCTGCTGCAACGGTCGTTTTTGTTTTACTCCACTAAATCGTGATACAGCACGATCGAAGACCACGCGTCGTGTACACCGCTAAAGTTGATATATAAACCCTTCTCCTCGGCCCTGAGAGTCTCCCATCTTCTCCCATCATGAAGGACTGGGAACTCAAAAGATAGCGAAAATGTTCTATGTTTCTTCCGAAAGTACCACCTGTATTGTCAATGTTTCCTCGGAAGTGCGGCTGTGGAAACAAAAGCGCACGATAACGAACTCATGAACTCGTCGCTCTATCCGGTCGGATTCTCAAAAAAAGAAACGCAGCCGGTACGTACGCATGGCGTTGCCTTCCTTCACTGCGCTGTGGGTATAAAAGGTCTTGACCTAGTTTCTCTTTGTACATTCAACTTCAATGAGGCGGCTATCCGTGAGTCCAAAAACTTCATACACCAGTTTTCATGGATTCTGGTAACGCTGTAAAACACGCATTGTGTGAACTCCCCGACCAGACCTTGGCACAATCAAATCCTGCTCGTTTGTTCTCATGTACATCGCCGATGTGCGAGTAGAAGATGAAGTACGTGTCGAAAGCAACGCTTGCGGCTTGTTCATGATTGGCGTAGCACTTGGCTGCTGCCTAAATCAGCCACACCATCCCTCGCCACCCACTACACTTCATCCTCACCTTCTCCCAAACGACACACAGAGCTTGCCCCAACTTTACGCAAACCAGTCTCATAAAATCGCATTCCAAGATGCCCGCCCATCCACATACAACCAGACGCATCCAAAAAGAATACCAATCCCTGCGCTCCGACCCAATAGAAGGCTGCACCGCCAACCCAATCGACCCCTCAAACCTCTTTTCATGGCGCGCCACAATCCGCGGCCCCCCAGAAACGCCCTACGAATCCGGCACCTTCCACCTCACCGTGGAGTTTCCAGAGGATTACCCGATCCACCCACCCACTATAACATTCACCACCCATGTTTACCATCCAAACATCGATAGCGACAGTGGGTATATATGTATCAACATCTTGCAACAAGATTGGTGTCCCGTTTTGACGATTTCGAAAATACTGTTGAGTCTGCGATCGTTTTTGGATAGTCCGGATGCGGAGGATGCGTATTATCCGAGCATGGGGAGGGAGTATGTGGAGAGGAGGGATGTTTTTGATGAGCAGGCTAGGAGGTTTACGGAGGAGTTTGCGGGGGGTGGAGGGTAGTTGTCAGTGTTTACTGGGTGAGATGAGATGTTCGCGACACAGCGATCATCGCAACGAGCGACTCACAACTTCCAAAATCCACATGTATCCATCCAATCAGGTCCTCTCGAAAAATGAGAAGTATCATCAACACAAGAGCTTGCGACACAGAGATCGAAACCCAGCCATTATTTATATCTACTCGGTATATAGATCGCATTCGAGAGATCACAACACAGGAAGATACAACTCGTTCAACTCTCAACAAGGCATTCTTGAAAAGAGCTCCCATGGGTCTGATGGCCCAGACAACTCATCCCGCCATGTACAGAACATTGTGGTCTTGCCTCTTTCTCATCCTTACCCTCATTCAATGGGCAGATTCCGTCTTGACCGTTCCCTCTATCAGCCGCGAATACCCTTTACTGGAACGGATACATAGAACGTATCATCTGGGCGTCCCCGTCAGATATCTCGAACTCTGGGTATTTGAGGCCACCGGCGAGACGCAGGAAGGCGGCCTGATTCGTCTGTGGATCCACTTTGAACATCGGGTACAACGTGGGGTTTGTACGATCCCCCGACACGATGGCTTCATTTGAACCTCTACGACTATCGTAATGCATAATTGACTCAAAATCGTATGGCGAGGCTATGTCTGGAGCGATATTATACGTGATGAATTCGGAGCCGATGAAACCGTGTCGAATTGCGAGAGCACGATCGTTGCAGAGCATGTCTTCTGTGCAAGTGGGATCCTCGGCCAGACATCTTCCCCAAGCTTCGGCGAATCCTTCGACGTTTCTGCAATTGTAGATGATGTACTGATCTCGGTCGGAGCGCTCATGCTCGTGGTTTAGGCCAAAAATGTGACCAAGTTCGTGTGCTACAGTGAAGTCCCTGTTGTCGTCTGTCGTGTGTCCCGAGATCATCAGATGATGTCGGCCGGGAACGTTACTAACTGTGTGGCCGACCGAAGCGAACCCTTCGCGACTCATAGGATCAGTCGCGACCCAATACACAACCACAGTTTCAGGAGGTATCTGTGGGTCCCATACGCCCGGAGAGGTGTAGCAGTACGGGTAGTTCGGCCCTCCGACTGGTTTGAAGCGTTCGAAATGCAAATTGTGGCCATTCGATGCTTGCGCCGCACCGAGCTTGCGTGTCCAAGTCCCCCAACCGTTGTCGACTGCTCTGAAAATATTGTTCTCGGAGAGCGCGTCTCTGAAGCACCAGTTAATTAAAAACCTTCGATCTGGTTGCCGGGGCCAACGTTGATTGTTAGCGTTGTAGACGGGGAACCTGGAGGAGTTAATAACTGATGGGCCTTGAGAATTCGCACTACATACCCAGCATGGCCGCCGGTATCAAGTGGCGGAGCAATATCGATTGGGCCAGGAGAAGGAAGAGTGGTGTTGAGGAAATCTGCCGAGATCGCACATACGAGTCCAAGGAAGGCAAGGAGAAGGGAAAGAGAATGCATTTTTGGATGTAGAGTCGGCCTTGGAAGTGGTCGCGCGCGGTTTCGAGGTGGCTGCTAGAGAGTGTCGAGTACAGCAGTGATAGTCGTAGTTAATGCTGTGGCAAGCGAAAGTGGGGCAACAGCTGGTGAAAAACACGCTCTAATGTAAACTTCACCTTCACTGAGTAGCGAGTGCAGGTATCATAGGTAAATATTGTTGACACTGGTTCATCTCTGCAAGATCTCGTTCAGCAACGTGACGACCAGGGTTGCAGTGAAACTACTTCTAAGCCTCTGAATTCTAACGTCCGCTAACCCGACACGATTAATAGTGAGGATACATAAACCGGATTGCCGCAGCGTCGCCTTGGGAAATATGGTAAGCTAGCCCAGGTACATGACCCTTTAAGGGCAAAAGGAAGAGCGGTGCTACGCCTTGAGCATTTGCCATGCCTATTTGAGCCATTGGGTACGAGTTAGGATCTGTTGCTGAATATGGAGCCTGATGATTGGTTCCCGCTATCGAATCGTAGTGCATGATGGAAGCGTAGTCGTAGGTTGAATGGTAATCTGGAGCGGCTGCAGTCCTTGTAAATGAGCGGATTAAGTCCCATCCGAATTGTTCACCGACACCATCCACTTCCGTAAGTTGCTGAAAGGTGACGTGGCTGGCTTGAGCAGCCTGCCAAGCTCGTGCGAATCCGTTGAGGTGCTGAGGCCTGAACTGAATGTAAATATCTCGATCCGGTCGTTGGTGCTCGTGAAGAAGGCCAAACACATGACCCAGCTCGTGTGCTATCTGCCAGACCGGGTTCGGAATCTCTCGCCCCGGTGTATCCACGGGCCCCTGGGTTAGATAATGTGCGCCCTTTTCTCTGCCTTGGTAACCAGCCGGAGCAAATGCCCCGACCACTTGAGGATCATATTTTACACGCACTGCCGCGCGAGGCATACCCTTAGTCCATTCGTTGTTGGCATCGTAACAATGGGGATAGTTGCCTGTGACTGGATGTTTCCAACGTTTGAATTCTAAGGCGTGGTTGTTTTCAGAAGCCGTTCCCATGACTGAGGTCCAAACAAGCCATGCCTGTTCCATGCGCTGCACCGGGATCTGTGTCTCTGCGAGCTGATTCTCGAAGCACCAATAGATTGTGAACATTGCCGTATATTCATCACGAGGCCACCTCCTTGCCGCTATTACAGGGTGCCTGCAAGAGTTAGCAAGTGTCGGGGTCGTTCACAAGATCGAATTATGGATGACGAACCCAGCAAAGACGACCCCAAAGAAGGCGAAGAGAAGAAGTAGGGGCAGCATGGCTGGGCGCTGAGTTAAGTTCCAGAGGGTAGATTCTGGGATTGGTCGGTGGTAGAGCTTCTGGTGGGTTGAGGCTAGTAGTATGTATAGTCGATGCAGGTCCCTGGGTAGGCAGCGAAGGTGGAGTGGGCCAATGCACCGAGTGCGGTTCTATCGCGGCGGAAACAACGCTGATGTAAGGGAAAGAGATCAAGAAAAGTGTGAGCCTTTGCAATAGTTCTGCTAGCGCCGCGATGAACGACTAGGGACACCACTTCTTGGTCTGTGCGCTTTAGACTTGTCGAGCAAACGTTTTTTGAACCCTAGGTGGAGGCTCTTTCACTACCTAGGTAGAGTCAAGTGTAAGATTGTCTACGAACTACAATTTCTGGGTTCAATACGCCAGATTATGACTAAAATATGGTTTGCCTACGACGCATGATATAGGTATTGCTAGTTGAACGCGTCACTGGCGAAGACTGAGACTGGAGCGTATCGTGAGACACGAAATTTGGGCTCAAGGTTGAGCGACTATTAGAGTTACAGCAAGTGCAGCTTTCCAAGTGTACTTAGTGGCTTTCTTGGATACTTCCCGTCTAAGTCTTTATCTAGCTATTCGCGGTCATGGGCGAGGAATAGAATGATCGAGCGATCCAAAAGCGATGATGGCCGTCAGTGCGTCGGGATCATAAAGATCACTGGTCCAGCGTGGGAAGGTCGATTACTCCCACGGATACAACAACTTGATAGCCTCTTTATCCAGTCTAGAAATACCCCACTCTCCACTCGGACGTGGCAGCGGAAGGAGCGACTTTTGACCATTCTTTCCACCGGTGAGTCGAACCAAAGGGTAATTATCGGGGTTGTTCTGATCCTGATTGACAAGAGCAGGGTTGTGGCTCTGCCATGAGCTGTAGTGCATGATCGAATCGTAATCATATTCCGCGCTGTATGCCAAGCCGTCGTTCGTCCACTTGTAGTACTCTGAAGCGTCGAATTGGTAGTGCTTCGCAACATTGAAGATGTTGCAGAGTTCGTTTATGGTAAAGCCGTCGGTAGTGGCCTTTTGGAGAGCTTCGTGGTAGCCTGTGAGACTGGCGCAGTTGAACTGGACGTGGTCGTCGCGGTCTCCGCGTGAGTGTTCGTGCATTAAGCCAAAGATGTGGCCTGCACGGATTCGATTAGTTACCGCTTGTATACTGATGGAGAAGAAATAGTTGTACCTAGCTCGTGAGCTACGACTGTCTCCCTGTTAGCGGGTCCGGACAATCAAAAATTGCTTCTCAACTTACCCCAGGCCAGATCTCTGTTCGGCGCTTGTTCCGCGTTGCCGATACTCAATTGATGACGACCAGGTGAACCTTCAGCCCTATATCCCAAAGAAGACGCTGCTGCCCAACCCCCTGGAGCACCACGCTTGATAACGACGGTGTCTGCCGGAAACAACTGGTTCCAATCGCCATTCGCCAGGTAGCAGTAGATGTCCTGGCCAGGAACAAGGCGCCGTGTAAAGAGCAGTGAATGGCCGCTCTCTTTACCCCAGCGACCGAGAGAACGCTGCCATGCTCCCCAGCCCTCTGCTATGACTCCTTCAAGCTCATCTTTGGCAGCCTTGTTTTCGTAGCAGTAGGCGATTTCGGTCTTGCCGCTGTTATCGGGGTGCTTCGGCTAGCGACCGCTCTTGTCGGCGCCAAACCTAGGGATGTTAGTATCGTGGCTTTTAAAAGGTTGCGGGACTACCAACGAATCGCCGAACCAGCCCATACCTCCCTTGGGAGCGCTAGCTTTGATGTTAGTAAAGATAAAGAGACAGGAAGTACCGCGACGGCGCACCAGGCAAAGAGAATAAGGAGTATCATAAGCAACATCGTGGCTCTAGTGTATCGTCCTCGTCCGAATGCACTTTGTTCCAATAAGGGGAATTTATTGAGTGTAGTGATGTGAAATGCATCGAGGCAATCAAGGGAAGACAGATCCAAAGGCGGTAATGAACCCGGAATCTACGCTTCCGCCCAAGTCGAGTGTAGCGGTGGGAATTCGGTCCAGATCTTGGCAGCTGTAGAAAGTACAGAGTGAAAGGTTCTCATGTATATTACACCTCCGATTTCTGCTTTCTCTCGTCCCAGTGCCATCATTCTGACTTTCCAGAACGGTATGATAAGCTCGGTATTTGCAAATCCGCCGACATCATGCCAGAAGCACATGAAGATATCCAGCAAGATATATACAATCATTCTTGAAGACGAGCACCGATGAGGTCGATGTGACGCCAGAATGCTTGGTAGATAAGAAAACGCGCTTTGGACTCCGAGTGTGGTCTGCTGTTGCTTCCTGATGGTCGCTGGAGGTGTATATTAGGGTGGGAATACATCCAAATGGCTTTCAGATGTCCTCTGAAGAGTCGACGCCACCAGGACAGGATGCAGCTCATTCACACTGGTTATAGAGAACACCGGGGCATGTTGTAGCTGTCCACAGGTCATCATTGTAACAGGAGAAGCGCGGTTCGTGTGAGAGATGTCGTGCAGGAATTGGAGTATTGTGCCTAGGTAGATGCCCAGGTGTCCGCCGCCCAAGAACGCGTGTGCGTGTCGCGCTAGGCACACCAAAGGAGACTAGCGTTACGCGTCGCGTGCCCACCCACCTGGGCATGTGCGGACGGCAGCGGCAACTCACTAGCACCGAAGCTTCTGAACCTCTACGGTGCTCTCTTCTTTCTACGTGTTTGCTTGCATCTCACCTGTCACAAATCTTACGCTACTGTTGTCGCATCTCCTAAGGGGCTGCGCTGCCTCAATATTGCACTTGCCTTTCTCCGTGCACGCGATCTCGCTTTCCATCTATGGATTCTATACGACGTCCTTCGAAGAGGGTCTATTCTCACCCGCACTTCAACGAAGAAGGCTAATTACTTGCTTGATGATGCCAGGCTGAGGCATTCAAAATCCCCAAGTGTGCATAGCGCTAACCTCGTAGGTCATCTGCATGCGATCGTTCCAGGATGTGTGTGAGGGGCGCAGCTGGAGCGGACATGTCTTCCCGCCACTTCATGCATCTGGTTCGTTCTTCAGGACTTGCGCTGAGATGGTGCATCCAGATGAAACCCACAGCGCAATTTCCAGGCTTTCCAAACACCCACACGTTACCACTTGCTTTCGCAGGGTCGCTTTGCCAACGCATTCTATCAAGCTGAAGCCCCACTTTCTTCGCCCCCACGGTAGCGCAAGCGCGGCGCAATCACATCGCGACCTCAATGAGACTTTTGAACGCCCGGACGTACGAGTTCCACGATGTTTTGGGCACGGTTAAGCCCAAGTACGCAATCTTATCGCACACCTGGGAAGATGGGGAGGTGCTCTTTGAAGATATCCGGGACACTTCCAGGGCCAAATGGAGTGCTAAGAAAGGCTACTTTAAGATAAGGAAAACATGCGAACAGGCCTTGCAAGATGGCTGCGAATACGTTTGGATTGATACATGCAACATCAACAAGGACAGCAGCGCGGAGCTCTCGGAAGCTATTAACTCCATGTTCCGATGGTACTGCGACGCCGTTATCTGCTACGCTTATATATCCGATATAACAGCCGGAGGGCGGCGTTCATTGTCCGAATGTCGCTGGCTCACTCGAGGTTGGACGCTACAGGAGATGATTGCTCCAGATCGCGTGCACTTCTACGATGTGAACTGGGACTACCTGGGAAGTCGTATCTCTCTCGCAGCACAGCTCTCGGAAAGTAGTGGGATTCACGCATCGGTATTGTCGCGGAGGCATTCTATACCAACCATCAAAGTGCCCACGACAACCGGTGTGATCATCGAACTTGGAGCTAAAAAGATCAAAGCAGAATTGGAAAAGAGTGAATGTCGATGTTGCAAAAGCGCTGAAGAACAGGACGTGCGCGGAATGATGGACAGGTTCAGCGTAGCGCAAAAGATGAAGTGGGCCTCCAAACGTACGACGACGCGCGAGGAAGACATCGCCTATTGTCTGATGGGCCTATTCGACGCCAACATGCCCCTCCTGTACGGTGAAGGGAAGAAAGCTTTCTATCGGCTGCAAAAGGCCATCCTTGAGATATCGTCAGATCACTCCATCTTAGCTTTCCACACCGATCCGTCAGTAAGATTCTTCACTGGACAGCCTTCGTTCTTGGCCCCAGATCCTACGTCCTTCTGCTACGACATACAAAATATGCGCATGCCAGATCGTGGTACGCACATTAGCTTTTCTGGGACTACACTCTCTGTCGAAATGCTCCTATGTCCGCTGAGCAGAAGTCGAACACCTTGGAGTGACTACCTTGGAATCTTGGACTGCGCAATAGACGGAGACCCATACACGAGGCCGGCCATCCTATTGTCGCCTGTGGATAGCACGAAGCTGATTTTCCGACGGAGATCAGGTGAAGTCAGTCTGTTCCGGCTAGGGCCCAAACATCCTAAGGAGGCTGCTATGATGTTCGACAATCAGTGGAACCCCAAAGGACGTACGTGCACTAGGAAGCCATAGGCTTACAAGCAAGCAGCTAAACATCGCAGTAAGGTGGGACACCCAGAGAATATTATACAATCCAGATAATATAGAACAAGCTCGAATCATACTCGTTGGCGAGAAAATCACCAATCAAAACCAACGCCATGCGAAAGCACACATACGCGTCCGCATATCCCCGATCTTCCACGACTTGAAGTTCCAAGTCACTTCGTTACCACCTCTAGTCGCGGAGCACCTGCCAGACACCACATCCCGCACCGGCAGTATAGAAATCTCCAGTACACATTTTGGAGCGTTCTACATTAATTGGAATCAGACAGTGTCCGGACGACTCGTATGCAGCATCTCAAAGAAGCTACTGCCAGGAGGCCATGATACGATACAGGAATGGACAGCTGCCCCCGTCAATTTGGAGTTTGAGCCTAGAGATGTTTGTACGACCACGCCATCTCAACATTTGTGCGAGTCAAAACAGATCCTCCTCCGTGGTATTGAATCCGCTCAACTCAAGGTTTGGATTGCGATTTCCAGAGAGCTCTTCATTGGAAGAAGTCGCTTTGAATTGGAAGTTTGGGCAGACCTCTTTGATGAGAATGAGAAATGGATCTCGCCGGCAGAGATTCGGCACAAGTGGGGGCGAAACTTGTCACCGGAACCTACACCGTTACCCATTAAGATAGATGACGAGCTACTATTACTACCGCATCGCTAACGAGATTGACTCCTACCCGAGAATGAGGAACACCACGAAAAACAAGAAAAAACCACCGAGAAAACACATTTGACATCTTTGCAATGACCTTCGCGGTACTGAATGGAATTCTAAGGCTTTATGCAGCTGCACCATCTCAATTTAGCTGTTCATACAACGAAGTCTTTTGCACACTCTGCTCGTATGATATGCACCGCTGGGACTCAACCTCGTGCAAGCTACTTACCAGTAATGTATAGTTAATAGGCTTCGGATCAAAACGACGCCAACATGACAGTATCACATCGCAGATACACATGCATCGCTACCGGCGATGGAAGTCATGTCTTTCAAGCGCCCAGACCTGCGAGACAAAAATGCAAATAGTCTAGTCTAAACATGCTGTCAACATCGGTCACTACCGCAATTCGAGACTGACGTTGCAAACGCACGCGCATCATCTCACATACGTAAGCAAACCGCTACAGACTCGATCGAGGCCAGATTCTAGAAGCATCCTGGAAAGCGAAACACGAACGCCGAAGCTCTATTCAGCTTTCCACACTCCTACTGAACCCCCACAACCTCACAACCCAGCCTCATCCCTCAGCCTCCTCCTTCACACCCTCCACCTCCTTAACCTCCACAACCCCCTTAAGCACCTTCTCCCAAACCCTCCTCGCAACCCTAAAACTCCTACACCACTCCTCCCAATCCCCCACTACATCCCTCTCCAACCACTCACCTCCCCTCGCAGCAACATGTTCTATGTACTCAACAGTCAATTCTTCTTCTTCCTCCCCAACATCTCCTTCCTTCCCATCCCCAGCCCCCTTGTCATCCCCACCTCCCAACCCGTCGCCCTTCTCACCCTTCTCACCCTTCTCACCCTTCTCCTCATCAGCCCGTGCCTTGAGATCAGGATCAACAGCCGTCCACTCCAACAACTTCGCCTCCACTAAATCAGATATACCGCACGGCGTAAAGAGGATCTGCACAACGTCTTCCGGGTTAAGTTGTTTTGTGTCTGGGTCTGTTTCCGGGGCGAGCGCGTAGTACCCGAGTGCGTGGCGCCCGTCTTCGTATAGGTTCGGTAGGAAGAGGATTGTCATCGCCGTGTCTGTCTCCTTTTTCTCGTGGGGCGTGTCTTCTGTGAAAGCGGGTTGGTTGGTTTTCTTTTTCTTTTTCTGCGATTGGTTTTCCGATACGGACCGTGCGGAGGGGTTGGAGGGTTTGGAAGGTGAGGGTTCGGGCGACAGAGCTGACAGGGCCGGTATACCAGGAAGCCTCGCATTCGCCGGTAAATTGGGTAAATGCGTAATCGCCGAGTCGAAATTTATAAACGGTAGATTCCGCTCTGCGACACGTATGATAGCGAGGAAGACGGCGGGGTTGGTGGTTGTAGCGCGGTAGATATATTCTACGTAGTTAGGGCGGTTGCAGCGCGGTTTGGGCAGCTTGGTGTAGTCGATGATTGTGTCGCTGACTTCGGGCACGTAGGTACGTTCGTCGCGCTTGGACTTGGGGTTGGCGGCGTTGGCGCTGGGATTCTCATCCTCATCGTCATCATCATCGTCGTCATTGTCACTCTCATCCCCATCAACGACCGTCTCAGACCCTAAGGGCGTAACCGCATCCTTCGGAATAGTCATCTTCATATCCTCCGCATAGTCCGTCGTGATATGCGCATACGTCTTCTTCAGCGTGAGTTTATGCCGGTAGTCCACTATACCTCTCCTGAAACCCGGGGCGGTGTCGAGTTCAGTGGTGTTGACTACGATGTCGTCTTGGTGCGAGTCGAAGGGGTATCGCTTTTCTTTCTTGGGCTTTGCGGCTTGCGTGGCAGATGGGGCCGCGGGGGGTTTGGGGGCTACGGTTTTGGGGACGGTGCGTTTGGGGGGTGCGCGGTGGGGAGGTTGTGTCATTGTTGCGGGTTGGTTGGCGGTGGGCGGTTGGTGTTATGGCTATGGAGACGAGGGCGTGGCGGACGAGGTTATTGAGAAGTGCGGGCTGTAGGGATTAGTTTGAAGAAATCATCGGTCACTGCGAGGTCGAGATATATGTCCGTGCAGGGACTGCGCTTGTTATTACTCCTTCACTACATTCTCGCAAGCCAAGGCGACTATACAACTACTGTTTCCACACAAGCGCTAATCAGACTCGTCGTCCGTATCTACTCCAAGTACAAGCGATATCTTGTCATCGTCACTATCCTCGTCGAGGTCTCCTTCACCTGGCTCGGGAAGTTCAGGGACAACCGAGGCGGTGCTGGTAGCGGCAAAATCTGACGTAGCGGCTACCTCCGTAGTAGGATTAGATTTGCTGAAAGACACAGACGCTGTTGGCGCAGGAGGTATTGGGTGTGCTGTACGCTGCTCGTCTTCGCCAGTCTTTGCTCGCTTGGAAGGCGAAAGAGGACCATCTTCGCCTATCGGCCGCTTGGTTTCGCTGAATGCGGTAGGTTCAGAGATGTTAGGGCGTTGCGCAAGCGTACCTTTGCGAACTGATCGTGGAGTTGAGAGGTCAGGTTTGCTAGGTGTTGGTGCGTCTTCCATAACAAAGTCCTTCGCTGCCGTATCTGATTGCCCAGCGGTTTCCAGCAGATTATCCAACTCTTGTCCAGCAAAGTGGTCATCCGCCTGCTCCAGAGCTTGTTGCTCTTCTTCTTCAACTTCTTCATCCTCAACTTCCATCTCTTCGTCTTCATCGTTGCCATCGTCCAACTCCAAATCCTTGCCACCCAGGCGAATGACTGGCATCCTTGGTCTGAGCATACCCTCTACATCCATCTCGGCGGAGAACGATCGAGCCATGAGTGGTAGTATGCTTGCTGCGGGTTTTCCGAACTTCTTGCTTGGTGGTGGGTTCAGCACGCTAGCTACCATGGCGTCCTTGTGCTGGGTGAGAATAGCGGTACGGTCCAGACGAGCGCGCATTGAGTCAGATAGGTATTGAGCCGGAATGCTTGAGAGTAGAACCGGAAGCAGATCGTGTGCGGCTTGTTGGAGTCCAGGGAATCCAGCGTTGGGGCCGCCGGCGTTCTTCGCAGCGCCAAGGAAGCTATCGGCGTTGGCAGTGGTCTGGGGCTGACTGTTGCCATTGGCCTTGGCCTGACCGGGAGTCTGTTGGTTTGTAGGCGCCGCGGTCTCGGGCGGTAGTAGATCGTCGCAGCAAGCGCGAATGAGAGGTACGAGGGAATCGATGGTAGTTTTATGAAGAGCGACTCCAGATCTCCGCAACAAAGCAGCAATCGCCGTGTAGCATGCTGTTCTAATCTGAGCTGTCTCTTTTTCCGCACTAAATACCCACACAAGTTGGTCAATGATGGCAGGATCCAGTGCCAACGTGCTGCTCTGGGATCTGTGCGCTAGAGCAAGAAGCACTTCAATCGCGGCGACATGTACGTCTGGCAACAGTAACCAGAGGCTTTCACGCTCGTCCTTACTGACTTGGGCGTTTAGACGTACGGTGTTCTGGAAATTCTTGCTCGCCGACACGGGAATGGTAAGGGAAAGCATTCTCGAGAGTAGGTCAACAATCATGCCAACATTGAGATACACAGTGTTGGCTGTGGGACTTTCGATGTACTCCTTGATGATGTAGAGGAGGCCTGTCAAGCGTTCGCCACCAGCGAAGATTCCCGACCAGGCAGATAGATCTGAGTCCGGCTCCAGGTCTTGAACTTCGTCATCCACTGTGTGACCGTTCGAAAGAGGTGCTTCACGTGCCGTCGATTGCCAGTCTTCAATCACAGCGCGGAATACACGGTCTGTTGTTCGATGGGTAACGTTTGTGATGTTCTTGACAGCCTTTGTCCACTCTTCGCTCGAAGCTCCTTTTGGTGCACAGCAAGGTAATTGGACGTAGAGTTGGCGCGCCGCAGCTGCGATATCCGAGCAAGCTCCATGGTTGGTTCCAGTTCGCTGCTCTTGGCTGAGTTTATCAGATGGAGTGGGTGCGATGAGACGTCCGAGAAGCGGGTAAAGTTGCTTTAGATAAGACCGGAAGATGGTAGGGTGTCGGGGCAGCAGCTCGTTGAAGCTCTCTAGGATAATCTGTAGTAGACTGGCGGGGGTAACTTTGGCATTCGCTATCTGTAGACAGACTTGGACGAAAGGTGATAGCGACGGAGTAGTGATCTCGCGGATCAACGTCGGGTACTCTCTGGTCAGAAGGAAGATGCGGGTCAAGGTGATGATGCAGAGCTTCTTTGACGACGGCGAATCCGGCTTGTTCAAGAATCCAAGAAGACCACGCACCCATGGCAAACTCTTCTGCAGAGTCTCCCAACCTCCAACTTCAATAGTGGCCTTGATCAAGACTATGGCACACCATCTTCCTTGGGGAGTCCGGTCTTGGAGCAGAGTGGTGAGTAGCGTCCGGTACTTGTGTATAGCAACAGATGCTTCCGAGGACGTCGCTTTGGTACCTGAGGCCTGGGCCGAAGAGAGGAGCGCCCTGCAATTGGCCAATGACGCAGCTATGGCAGGCACGTGTTGGGGGAGCTGGGATGTCGGCGTGGACGAGATGCGGAAACTGAGCGCTCGCAGCGTCGCCAGTTCGGAAGCAATGGGCGCCATGATGATGGCGATTCCCCTGGATGTTGATTTGATCAGCCCGTCTCTGACCAGCGGAATGGCTGTTGTCGATGGCTGGTAGAAAAAAGTTCAAGGCCCGGAGTTAGCGTCGGACCGCATGCGCTAGAGCTGCAGGGATGTGCGGGCCAACTGCACAGAAGAGTGGGACTTGTGCAGTCGGTCAGTGACATGTGTACAGCCATGGCCGGCGTCGTCGCATTCAGTATTGCTCGTCGAACATGATTCCACAGACATCGCGACCCTGTCCAGAGCCAAAGGCATATTCTTAGCACCATGGTGGTATGTCGCGGTTGCTGTCCTCCCTCTCCCCTGGCGCCGAAGCAACGTCATCTTCAACAACGGTAGCTTACAGGACCTACAGACCCCCCCTGAGAGCGAAAAGGCCAAGCGCTACATACAGCAGCTGGACGAGGCTCGATGCGCCGGACGATGGGCCGACGTGCCTGAGCTGTGTCGCAAGGTCGAGAAGCATGCGCCGCACCGACGATGTCAGCAAACCTCTCTGTTTGGTCTTTCTGAGGGCTAACGGCGACCCAAGGCCTCACCCTCACAGCGCGCTCCGACGCCCAGATAGCCGCACACAGCACCAAGAGGCCCTCGACCGCCTCCTCTGCCGCCTCCACCACCGGCCTGTCACAGATCATACCCTCGCTGCTCGCAACGATCGAAGAAGATGGCACGCAGGGTCAAGACGCCTTCCAGGCCAACGTCTGCCTCGGCTGGGCCCATTACGTGCTGGACGAGCCGGGACTCGCAGTTGCGCGGCTTCCACAGGACTTTGGGGCAGTCGCGACCCAGCTGTCGGGCGAAGCAGGCACGCTGAGCGGCTGGTCTCGGGTGTGTCTGGTCAAGGGCACATATCTCAAGGGTACAGCTATACTGTGTAATCTCATTCTGGCCAGAGAACTGACGTGATCTAGGCTCCGCGCTGGAGAAGACAGGTGCGATTGGCGAGGCAGCCACGATCTACTCGTCAATAATACCCTGGCTGTCCACGACGACTACCCCGAACACCGAATCGGCCCAGTTCAAGATGTGGGGAGAACAGTCTCTCGTCCGTCTTTGTCAGCTGTCCGACCAGTCGATGGGTCTCAGTGAGCGAATCAACGCGTCCGAGGCTCTGCGCACCTACCGCTACTGGGCAAAGTTCTGGGATGCAACTTCCAAGAACGCCGCTTCAGACGTTGGCAACTCAGCACGGTACCGGCGGTTAGCATGGAAGGCCTACTACGACTCGCTATCAACGATCCTCCGCTATGACCTCGCCTACGAACCCGATTCCACACCCATCATACAAGAGAAGCCAACGCCTACCGCACAGTCAGACGCACGTCTACGGCAACGGGCGGAGCTTAAACGCGTCGAGGCTGTCTACGAGAACCTGTTGATACGAGAGACACACTTTCCCAAAGCCAGCGAGACCAATCATGAAGTCGAAACGTGGGTGGATTCCGTCATGGACAACTGGCGCCTCCTCTGCGGCCCCACGTGGAGCGACGATGATCTAGGTGAGGGAGGGAAAGAGGGTGTTGCGCGAGGCGTGCTTGATGTAAGTTACTCAACTACCACAAGAAGATCCGATAGCTAATATCATCTAGATCCTCTATCGAGCCGCCACCAAGACGTACCACTCGACCCAGATCCTGCGCAACCTCTTCGTTGTCCACGCATCTCTAGCCGAGCCTGAGTTGGCATACAAAGCCTACGATTCCTATGTCGAGATCATCACGCGGAACAAGGATCGATCGGAAAAGTCAGGCGAACTCGAGGCTGGCATTGACGACGACAGCACGGTGTTGAGGACTTCCGCCGAGGCCATCAGGATGCTTTGTAGATGGGGATCTAGGCATGACGCCGAAAAGGCTCTCGAGATTGCTCACAGTATCGAGCACTGGTTGGAGCAGGCAGATCACCTTCGCTCAACGTCTGATGCCCGCTCAATTGCTTCGAGCACATCTTTCGTCGAACCCACGGCCCTAGCTGCCGCCTATTGCGCCATTGGCATCACACAAGCACACTGGGCACGGCTCACTTACGAGGTTGAGGCTAGGGCCACGATCCAGGCCAAAGCTGTGCAGTACCTCAGGAAGTCGCTTTCACCTAATCTCGGCGACGAACATAATGTGGAAGCTCTATACGCCCTCGCTTTGGTTCTCGCGGAAACAAGGGACATCCCCGGTGCCATCAAAATCGCCAAGCGTGCACTTTCTCCAGCAACAAAGGGCACCACGGTCAGTGTAGACGGAGTTCTGTCGGATGGCATCACCACTGAATATGGACGCGAACGCAAGTTGATACCAGTGTGGCATCTTCTTGCCCTGCTTTTG